ACTATCACTTACTCAATTTCAATGTGATAGGGCATTTTCAAAACTAAAGATCATAAATACAAGGTTAAGAAATTCACTGTCTGAGGAGAATTTGGAATCATACATGTTACTATCCATTGAAAAGGAATTGTTAGATGAATTGATTGCCGAAACAATTATTGGCAGATTTGAACAATCATCTCGTGAACACAAACAATTGTTTTTAATATAGTGGACTGAATGCAATGCTCTATTATGCTTTTGAGCTATCTGTCAATGTGTTAATTGCGCAGCAAACTATTTTAAAATATCAACCAAATACTTAAAATTAAAAAAATAAATAAAAAATTCAAATATAATATTCTGTATTTGCATTTGGTATCTACTGCCAATAATATGTACAGTACAAGTACACTGTAATTACTAATAAATAACTCATTTTTTCCACCAAAATTTTAATTGTACCCTTTTTTCTATATGCATTTTTTTGAAAATTTTATTTATTAATTATGAAAATTAAATGATAGCATTGTAGTTTTGGGCAGGCCTCCTTTGGCTCCTGGTAACCAATATTTTTAGACCAAGTCCACAACTGAATGTTAGTTGTGTGTTTTGTGGCAAAGGGAATTGTCTAGTTCTTCAATCACTTATATGCCATGCGTGATACACACTTAGGCGATCATGTACCTTTTGATACATGACTGATGAGGCAGTTTTTTTTTCCGCAGTAGGTTGCCATTTCATTCTGCAGTAGACCAGTTGCCATCCAAATCTATAGAAACCAGTCTGTCTTGCTATTTTACCCATAGCTGGAGGTAGAAGAAGAGGATTAATACCTTTCCCAAGGGTATTAGCACGTAAGTGAATGGAATGGATTTGACTTAAATTTGAACTTGGCTCTCTGATTCCTCAATCCAAGCCGCTATCCATTACTCTACTGTGCCTCCTAGGGACTAGATTTTCACTGGTTTCATTATTTGATGGTCCATGAATGCTGGTTTTCAAGGCAAGCACATTGTTCCACGTCATATGGAAGATTAGGGCAACTGAATCTTTTTAACTCTTTTTTTACTCATATTTAATTTTGTATAAGACTAACCTAAGGTTAAAACAAAACATTCCATACAACATCGCAAATGAATCTATGATTGGAAAACAGCACTAATCTTTTCACTTCAGCGGCCAGTGTATCAATTATGATGAGAGAACTATGCGGATGACATCGGTATTCATGGGATAAAAATAATCTTGGACAAAAAATCAATATCCTTTACACTATTTACATTATTCGGACTATTGTCCTCATCTTTGTCGCCATATTTATTAAAATGTTTCAGCCGTTGTACACTTTGGCCTTCTTCAGGTGGTTGGAATGTTGAACTGAACCCTTTATTTCGCTCACTGGGGTAATCTGTTCTAGTTCCTCATGCCATGTTTAATGGATATCAGTTATCGGTTATCTCCTATTAATTCCCCTCTCCAAGTTCTCCACTACCTTAAACAGGTATTGAACTCACACTCTTTGGGTCCTGTCACTGGATCTAGCCAACACCTTTATCCACTGTGCCATTCCAACCACCTGAAAAAGGCCGGAGCGTACAACTGCCGAAACATTGTAATAAATATGGCGACAAAGATGAAGACAATAGTCCAAATAATGTAAATAGTGTACATAATACCTCATCTCAGAAATATAAACAATATTCATTACTAAGTATTTCCAGAAGTAGGACAATATTAACTTTTCCAAAGCAAAAATTATTATTTGGAATAGAAATGCTAGCAGTGATGGCATGTACCCTGAATCCATCACAAAAATTCAAAATGTGGAATTAGTAAATACTAAATACTTCAGATACCTTTCTGTATGTTGTGTAGGAAACCTACCACCCCTCTTGAAGATGAACTTGTCTACAAACAAAGACGTTAAATAGTGGCATGTCAAAAGACAGACAGAGTCGGAGAAGTTCTTGGCTGAGTTAGTTATAGACTACTCAGGCGATTTCTGTACCTACTTACCAACCGAATAAACCCCTTTTTATTGTTACGTGTTATTTGGCGTTTGTCTTTATTAACCCCAAATCAACATCATAACACTGTATAACAAATTTAGTATAGGAGATATAGAAATTGAACATAGAATAGTCAATGCTAGGGGTAATTTCACCCAACACAACAAGTTGCTACAAAACCAAAACATTAACATAAAAACACAAGTTATATTCTTAAATAGCCTCATTAGATTAAGACTTTCATATAGATGTCATGCATAGTATTCAACTCATTCAGAAATGTCTAAACTATCAGCTTTATACAACCATTTTCTCAAATCAATAATTAAAAATAGCTTCAAGTGAATGAATCCTCAAGGTCTTAAAGAAGACAATCCTTCATCAGATCATATAGACTGATGATCTAGAATTACAAAAAAGAGTTTTACTAAATAATTGTTACGAGGATGCATTTCTATAATAAGAAAGTCTCAATAAGATTAAAATTTATAGTAAGGGATTCTACTGAGTTCTACCTGTTAATACAAAAAAGTTTTCATTCATGAAGTAGTTGTAAAATAGAGAAATTAGAAATAGAATGTTTGGAAGGTTCTACATCATTCTAGTATATTTGAGAAAAATCTAGATGATTCGAGAAACATCTAGAAATATGCAAATTAGGTGTTAGCCCCTATAAAAATGGGATTTTGGAAAAGGGTTGTCAGTTGACGAAGGGGAATTTCTGCTGTTATCAACTCCGGCTTTTGATTCAAGGACTATTATATCCAGCCGAAAGAATCTCTATAAAAAGTTGCGGACCAACAAAAACCCAAAAGGGAATTTCATGGAACAAATTTGGTAAATAGAATTTTGACTAATTTTCATTGACCAAACTAAAAATTAATATTTATTTACACACCTTTGTGGATTTCCAAATATAGCACGTAGATTACTTCGCTATCCCTAAAGTGATAAAGATATTTGATTCCCTTTCCTTCTCCCTCGTAACACTTCGCCTGTAAACTCTGTGTTTTCTGTTTTGTAGGCCACAATTGTTTATCTTGTATATATTTTATGTTGTGCTTTAGTAAATTAAATATTTGTTTGTGATTTAGCTCTGTGTTGTGGTAAATCATTTTTTTCCTTTGTTACAATTTTCAGCACGTAACATAATGAAAATCAGATTACTTGAAGAATTCCAACAGCAACAACAACTAAAATGGGTAGCACATACAGTAGGGTGAGCAGAAGAACTCACATGATCTTGCCATAAACATGAAAGACACCCATTTTCCCATTGGGAAATATTACAAGTAGGACTCTCTCTTTTTACTCCTTTCACTCTGCTTGTTGTATACATATGTTATAGTTTTGCTTTATAGGATAAATTAGTAATAAATATGTATATATCTCTTTGAGGACAATACATATTCGTTATTTCTTTCTTTCAGCTATTCTGTTCTGACTGTGTATTAAGGTATATTAGTATGACTTGTAACTGGTAAATCAATGTTATTACAAAAATTGTTAATGCAATAATCACTCAGAAAATAACAAATCAACCAATCATATATTTTAAATATCTTGAAAGATTTAACTTAAAATATACTGAAGGCAAAACAGCCCCATTGACCTACCTCCATAAATGGTTTCAGCTTGTTGAAATGGTAGCTTCACTCTGGTGTTATACAAGGGAAGCCTGTTTTCCATGTTGGCATGAAACTGAAATAATTTAAAAGCAATTCAATAATGTTTTCTAAGTAAAATAAAAAACGACATAAAACTTGGATATTTACAAGGTTAAGCCATATCACAGTTCCTATTTTTTTACTTGCTTTATCTAATTTATCTCAGTGGAGGAGATATATACCATGAAATTTTGTTGTTTAAGATATAGTATTTACTAGGATTTGAATTCAGAATTGAAAACATATTTGAGATTTGCCTTGTCTAAATTTCAGGACTGTGTTCTCTGACGTCCAAGTATTGTCTTAAATTCAGATAATGTATTGTCATGTTTTTATGAATTATTTGGACACATAACCTCCTTTGTTTTTTTTATCACTAAGTTTAAACTATGTTTTCTGACTTCCAAGTATTATCTTAAGTTCTGAGATGATGCATTGTCATGTTTTTTATGAATTATTTAAATAAACATCTGCATTTTTGTTGTTTTAATTACTAAATTTAAACCATGTTCTCTAGCCTTCCTAATAATAGCTGAAGTTCTGATGTGTGCATTATCATGGTTTTATGAATGATTTGAACTGGCATCTTCATTTTTGTTGTTTTGATCACTAAGTTTAAACCATGTTCTTTGAGTTTCCTAATATTATTATAATTTCTGAAATTATATATTGTTGTGTTTTTTAAAAAAATTTTTAACTTTATAAAAAACACAACAATATATAATTTCAGAAATTCAGCCTCATTTTTGTTGTTTTGATCACTGATTTTAAACACATTCCCTAACCTTCTTCATAATAGTTGAAGTTCTGAAATGATGCATTATCATGTTTTTTTTATTAACTATTTTTATCACATCCTCATTTTTTATTTTGATTACTACCTTTAAACATATTCTCTAACCTTCCTAATAATAACTGGAGTTGCAATGTATATATTAACTTTTTTAAGAATTATTTGGATGAGTATCTTCATTTTTGTTGTTTTGCTTACTAATTTTAAACAATATCCATTAACCTTGCTCGTTTTTTTTTTTTTTTAATCAATTCACCCTAAGTAAGACAATAATGCCACTAAGATGCAGGGGGATACTTCGAGTGAAAAAGAATAAAAAGACTTTAGAAGGAGCAGGAAACAAGGGATAAACCTCTACTCCAGTTCAAAAGACTGGAGAGGAGCATGAATCAGGTGATAGGCAAACCTATTTACTCTTATTGAGCAGAAGAAAAATAAAAATAATTAGTAAATAAAATTTCAGAGTTCATCCAGTGACATTAGAAATATAGAGTTGCAGTAGTCTTTAAAAGAAACTGGAAACAGAATCCTAAGCAGGAAACAAGGGATAAACCTCTACTCCTGTTCAAAAGATCAGGAAGGAGTATGAATCGGGTGATAGGTGAACCTATGTACTTCTTTTGAAGAAAAAAAATAAATAGTAAATAAAATTACAAGGTTCAGGCAGAGAGACATTGGATATAAGAAAATAGGGATAAAAAAAATTGAAAGAAAAATAAAATAATATAAAATTAAGAACAATGAGAGGGCAGTGGGTCTCCCTGGTTTGGAATAAACATAAAATATAATGCAATAAAAACAGACATAAGTAAAAGAAACAAGAGGAAATCTGTCTGATGTAAAAGTATACAGTGTATGGTAATAAATCTATGGGTGGTGTCATGTCTATTGTCACAGAAAATAAAATTGGCAGACTGAGTTTCAATTCCAGTTGATGCTTTTGCATTTACTTTGTGTTAATATTCTTATAAAAGGTATGAATCTGTTCTCTCTCAAAATATAAGTAAATAAGAGGGTAGATTAGACTGAGTTTTATCTTAAGTTTTGAAGTAATACGTTATCTATTTTTATGAATAATTTGAACTAACATGTTTGTTACTTTCATCAATATTCTAATGAAAACAAGAATAATGAAAAAGTTTTAGAATAAAAGAAATATTTGTATTTTATTATGGGAAAAAAGATTATATTCTTTAATATTTGTTAAAGTACAATAAAAAAAAGTAGTACCTCTTCATCTTCCATCTGTTTTTGGATCTTTTCCAAATCTGTGTCCCCAAAATCATCCATAAGTTTCAGTAACTTTTCCTCACACAATGCAAGTTGGTCAAGAACATATTCATTGGACATTGGTGAAATTCGAGCTGAAGTTGTATGACCTTTTGTCTGCATTAATAACAATAGTAAAAGAACAAAAATGGTTAATAGAAATTATGGAAATTATTAAGTGTGTGCAAAATTCCCAGCCCCCGATCAATTATGGAAATTATTAAGTATGTGCAAAAGTTCCCAGACCTCCAATCTATTGTTGACTGGAGTAAAAAATGGCTTGTAAACTTTAATGCCTCCAAAATGAAACTGCTCTCCTTTACCCACCACAGAGAACCCTCCCTGCCTCCCATCAGAATGACTGATTCCCAACTCCTCGAGAGCACCTCGTTACACCTGCTTGGTCTCACGCTGTCCACTGACATGAGATGGAATAATTACCGCAAGGAAAAATTGGTTCTCTGTGCTGTGCCAGAAACTTTTTCTCATCTGAGTACATTCCTTCAAATCTATAAGTCAACCATCCATCCTTGCATGGAATATTGCTGTCATATATGGTCTGGTGCTCCTGCTGTACATCTCGAGGTTCTCAACAAAATCCAGAGATGAATATGCAAGTTGATAGGTCCTGATTTGGCATCTAGTCTACAATTGCTATCCCACAGATGTGCTGTGGCCTCCCTCTGTCTCTCTTAAAAGTATTTTCACGGCAACTGTTCTGACATGCTACTCTCACTGGTTCCCGGACTGCATGAATTTAAGCAAGCTACCAAGCTGGCATCTCAGCCCCACCCTTTCACTGCCAAAACAGTTAAATGTAACCATCTCTTCTACTCAAACAGCTTCTTCTCTCGCACTTCCCATCTGTGGAAATCCCTTCCCCTTACTTGCTTCCCCGATGACTATAATCTTCAAATATTCAAGTGTAATGTCAATCGACATTTGACACCCTGAGCTTGTTCCCTGTCCTTCGCTGTATCCGTTCCTCAAACATGCCTCTTTACACTTGTTTTCAATCATCTGTAACTCCTTGCATGCTAGTAGCACTCCCACCTTGTTTGGGGTGAACTGCTTTAAAAAAAAAACTTACTTTAAAAAGAAATTGATTGTAGAAGATTTAAAAAGCAAGAAAATTGGTTTCATATAAACTGTAAGAGCAAAGCATTGGACAAAGTCTCACCATCTGTATTTCACTTTCTGCCAGATATGAAAAAGTCTTTGTGATTGCAATATTGTCAGTATAGATTTAAAATGGGGATTCCAATGTTAATCTATAGTATTGAAAATCATGGGTGGACCCATAACAAGTCTTGTTCATATGTTGCCTTCTCAATCCAAAAAAACATAATGTAGTGGTGATGAGAAATTTTTTCTCACATAATATATTCACCAGATTTAGCACCATCAGGTTATCATTTATTCTGATTAAGCCATCAAAGTATGTTTTGCATGTGCACTAAAACAATGTGATTAAATGAAGACACAACAAATAAAAAAATCATATGATCAAATAAATACACATCGCCATGTGGATAAAGACCATGGAAAGTGACAATTAAGCATTCTGATAAAAATACAGAGTATTTTTACACAGGGTATTCATTCAATGTCCTTTATTTCTCTACTTTTCCAGCACCCAATGCTATAGAATAGACATTGTGAGGAAATACAACCCGCATTGTTGGAAGTGATCAAACGATTTAAAATAGGGAAGCCTTATCCCTTTTTTCACCTCATTCTCTCTCAGCATATCCAAATAAGAAGACTCTCAACTAATAGCATTTCTAGCAATCAGAAAGTTGGAAGCCAAGGTTAATGTGTATATCTAGAAAGGAGTCAAAACATAAAGATAATTTTTTATGATTCACCTTACTAACTTATACAACTTCTAAAAATTATTTTTTTTAAATATCTTTTATCTACTGGCCTATATATTGTTGTATCTCGTGTTTTCGAGATAACATAAGGAAAGAAATAAGGAAGACAAACTTGTAGGTAAGTAATGAAATAGAAGGTTTACTACATGAAGGTATACTTAGCAATTGACCGAATGCTAACTCTGCTCACCTCTGCTTATTTATATAAACAGACGATTTCATTCATTTATGTCCTAGATGTCATATATATAGATTATGAATGGTCCAAATGGGTGATGTGCATTTTCTAGAATAATTTTGTATGAAATGAAATAATCTCTTCTTTTCAGCATTTCTTTATATTTTTTAAGTTGAAAGATCCTGTCAAAACTTATTTTTATTCTTAGCTCTAGCCATAAGGAAGCATCCATTTTTGATTATGATATCTGCCAGTGGACAGGACAGACAAACTTTACAGGAATTTACTATGGCTTTTGTATTTCAGATTATAGTTTAGAAAATCTACAATTATTACAATATATACCAACTATACTTCTGAATGGTCCAAACTGATGATATGCATTTCTTAGAGTAATCCAGATTTGCTGTGATGGCTCAATAGTAAAGCACACTTGACTTGAAAGTGATTCCAAGATTAAAAAAGGAATGCACGTTCAGTTTCTGTTGAGAGACATTTTCTTTAAATAAGACTTTTCATTTCTAGGCTAGTAGATTAATTAGAAAAACAGGCATGTCTAAAATATTGTAACATTTTATTGAATAAAATAAATTGCAACTAAATCAAATGGTTTTTCCAAGGAGTAGTAGTAGTAGTAGTAAAAATGACAAGTTAGATCACAAATAATCTCCACAGATTTAATGTAGTTTAACTGTGTGTTAAAGAAATTATACATTTTCTAAATTAAATAATCTCTCTTTTTTAGCATTCCTTTACATTTTTAAGTTGTAACATCATCAAACTTGTCAAAACTGTTTTTTTTTTATTTCTTAGCCCCTATCTATTATGATGTATGTCACAAGGAAGCATCTATTTTTAATTATGATATCTGCCATCAAGCAGAACAGAAAAACTATAGTAATTAAGTATGGCTTTAGTAGTTCAGATTATCTTTAGGAAATTTATGATTATTAAAATATATATCAAGTACACTTCTACATTATAGTGTGTAGGAGGGGCCAACTTAAACCTTTTGAGTTCCCTGTGATATATGTTTCCCACAGATGTTTTCAAAATGTCCTGAGGGACATAACTGTCCCCAAAACGCATTGATAATGGATAAAGCAGACATAGTGTCCCATTGCTATATTCATAATAATACATTCAATAATATTATTTTTCTAAGCCAAAGTTATTTAGATATGTCTACTGAAATGAACAATAATATTTTTGTTGTATACATCAATTATGCGAATGTGGACTTGAAAGGGTTAAAGGCCAGAGAAAAAGCTTGCTCAGCATATACCTCTCTTTTATCCCCTACCAGTGCTCTCAACCAATGAAAGCAAAGCTATTTTTTCTATTTTTCTTTTTTTTACACTAAATTTCACCCAATACAAGGCTCAAGAGCCACTCATGGTAGAGGATTGCTGGATAAGGTATGTGATATGAACCTAATAGGAGGTAAAAGGAAGTAAAGATTATAAGAAGGATATATAACGATTGATACTTGACTTGAAGAGGTTAATATTGCAGTGTCCAGGGAAGCATCTATGCTATAATGTTGTGGTGTCCTCCCTCTAAAGAGTCTATGTTGGACTCTTGCACCTACTATAAGATTAGTAAGAGAGAAGGCCTTGGGGGAACAGTCGAATAGATTGAATGCTGGGTCAACCGACAAAAACTAGTCATGTAATACTTTTCTATTGTACTTACTGTTTGATATATGATATATCTGCAACACTTGTTTTGTTATTTCTTTAACCATTTACTTGGTCACAACACATAGTTTACTCCACAAAGTAGCATTTGTTGGGGGAAAAGCTACCTGAGTAGAACTTCCTCCTTACAAATGGAATACAAGGGAAATGTGGGTGATTTGACTATATTTTATGAAAAGTCACTGGCTGTTGTACAACTTGTTACTGTATATTTGGTATATGACAATTAATGATCTATAAAAAATGGGTTGGTATTACAGACAGGAGGCTTGTCACTGAAAAATCGAGCCATATAGCAAGGGAATTGGAGTGTGATAGGGTGAATATATAATGAGTTAAGGTGAGCAATAGTTAAAAAATGTCCTTGTAGACATATATCTTACAGGTTGGCAAATATGGTAAATAAATATACTAGAAATACCTGTGAAAGTTTCACAGTTTTATTTTAATTTTCTGTTGAATCTTAATTCTTAAGTTAAGGATTGAATAAGCTCATGGTGAGTTGTATAACAATAAAATATCCAT